TAATTACACGAAAGATTTATAATTTCCTTTTTCATAACCAAGGTACTAATTTTTTCATAGCCCAAAAATTATCTTATTTTCTTTTTGTTTTGTTCGTTAAGTTAACGACTCCCATTTGCGGCTTGAATTTATGGTACATATCAAGTAGCCTTCGCTTGCACCTCTTCATCGTCGCCGAGTGGTTATAATAAATGCGATTACAGTGCCGTTTATTTTTTGCCGTCGACAGAAAGTGAATTAAGGGCCATAAATTATACTTTAGCGCCGCTCGTTTCGGTATATTTCAACAAGGTCGTTGTAGCCGCTCCACCCCCCAACCCAACAATTTTCGCCAGACGTAGGGTTTGGGGGGGAAGGGCGTCGCGACGTACCCCCCCAAACCTTAACCCCAACAACACCAGCTACCCTCCGGATGCCCATTCCGACGCAGTCTACTCGAGATTATCGTTTGCGTACCTGTCTGAAGGGTTGAAAACGATTCATTCTCTACATGTCTGGGTGATTTTGTTCCAAGTTATCTTCACAAAATGAACATTTAAAATATTAATTTTTTCCTTGATGGGTTTGATATGTAGCGAAGCTCCCCTTCAAACCAATTTCCTGACCAGACAACGTGAGGGGATCGACACGTTGCACGGGAACCGTCTGGTAATTGGTGCCTCCGGTGACGTCGCGACGAGAGTCACGCTGCATTTAACACGTTGATTCCTTCGTTACCAACGTGAAATTGCGTATCGACTACTGTATCTCTAAAGGTATTTGCGTGCTGGAATCAAGATGACTTGAAAACCATTAAACCATGAAAATATTAAGTTAGATTTATGTGATTCGAGAATTTATTTGGTGTTAATTAATCGTATGAATTATAAAATTATTCGAAACGACGTTAATTAAAAGAGAAATTTGTAACCAATAATATTAAATTCAAAAATAAGTCTCCACATAAAATCTTTTTGCATGACATTGTATACACCCTATTTTATACAGTGCCACTCAAAATTTTTAAATAGAATAATAAAGAGCTCGAATAACTTAGAAAAATACGTTACAAGGTTTTTGTAATATAAAAAAGCTCAGTTTCATGAAATAAAAAAAAACATCGTGACTTTTGTTTGGTCTTTTAATTGAAAGACCAAAAACCGTGGGTACAATTAAATTAGTTTATTCGTTCAACGTAAAACTTTCGGAATTTTCGTGCTTTCATTGAGTATACACAGAAAAGTTGTTCGTTCGATTAAAAATTCGCGAGAGCACACTCCACGTGGTCTAGACCCCTCGACTTTTCTTTATTTTTTTGTCCAGAAAATCGTTGGAATTGTTTACAACGGGAACCGCGGATTCGTAGCGCATACGGTTTAATTAAGTTGCGGCCCGAAATACAGTTTTATTAAATGCATAAATTGCCCCCGAACTTTGTGTACCGGTTATAGCGCGTTTTAGTATTCACCGCGCGAAATTCAATTTAAAACGTGAGAGACCTCGTGCACCCAAATCTTGATCACTTAACATTATTAATTCGGAAAATAGTATTTAGTGCAGGTAAAGGCGAGAATATCAAAATTAATAGGAAGTTTTAAAGTGACGGTTTCTTAACTGGGAAACCGCACTAAAGTGAACTTGTTAGTTTAACTTTGTTAACACGTAAAAGCACGTTCTGGAGATAACCATTTTACGTCTATCTTAAATCAAGTTAATTGCTACGTTCATCTATTTCATTTATACATGATTCGGGATAATTTAACGGTATCCGTAAATCGATTTTACCATAATATGAGTTATTGATCGAAAATCTCAACAATTCCAATGTAATTTAACTTATTAAGAAGTTATACAATAGTTTGAATTGTATATTATTTAGTACCCTATGCAAGGCGACCACAAATTGATAACCAATAAAGGCTTATAATATCGAAAGGGGCATAGTTTGGCGAAAACGGTCGTAACTCAATGGGGAAGTGGGAAAGCGTTTCGCAATTAAAACTTTGGCCACGGTCAATTTGCGACAAAATGCAACTTTGGGACGCCACCGCTACGCGTCGTGACGACTCTACAAAACGTGCTTTAAACGACAAATAACCAGTTATTTGCACCAACATCGATACGCGCGAGCTTAAAATTACCCGTTCGCCAGGCCGATAATTAACCGAAACTGTTTGTAATTGCAGGTTTATAAAATAACGGCCTTGGACTATTAAAGTGGAAAGAGGAGGTTTTCCTATTTAAACCTCAATTTAAGCCACATTTTATACAAAAACACGATTTTATCCGAATTTAACTTGTATGTTTATATTCCAATTAAACTTTAAGAGATAAACAAATGAGATATATTAGTACAGTACAACCTCGAACTAATACGAGAAAGAAAAACTAGAACAAACACTAGCATTAGAACTTACACTAGACCTAGAATTAGAAACATTTCTAATTCATCAAACAGTTCTAGTCCATTGAAAAATATATAACAATCTAACGCTGTGTAGCAGTTAAAACTAGAACTGCGTCTTCAGACGCACGGCTAAACCCGAATATTCTAGTTATAGGTCTTGTGTTAGTTCTAGTTTTAGTTCAGTGTTGTATTTTTTTCATTGAACTAAAACTAGAACTAACACTAGACCTTGAAAAAGAAACATTCGGGTTTAGCCGTCTTAAGAGACGTACGGCTAAATCCGAATGTTTCTAGTTCAAGGTCTAGTGTTAGTTCTAGTTCATTGAAAAATATACAACAATCTAACGCTGTATAGCAGTTAAAACTAGACCTAGAACTAGTTTCGGAAACTCTTCTATTATGAAGAATACAAGTTTCAAACTGCACTAGCACATGCTGCCAATAAGTTGGCAACATCTATAGTAAAGATAATTAGATAATTAGAACAGTAATTACAACAGCTCATGCTGCCAACAAGTTGGCAGACTCTATGATGAAGAATACAAGTTTCAAAAACTAATAGATCATGCTCCCAACAAATTGGCAGATTCGATGATGAAGTCTACAAGTTCCAAAGTATAATAGCTCATGCTACCAACAAGTCGGCAGGCTCTATGATTATTATTATTATTATTATTGCTGCCGGGCTGAGGAGGGCGACCCCTCTCGTTACCGCGACCTATAAGATCTATTGTAACTTTAGCCCTCCAAAGGTTTAGGGCAAATGTAGGTCCTTAATGAACCTTAGTATTGTCCTGAGGTCTTGNTCTTACAAATGCCATACGTAGTTCACAAACCGCTAGAGAGTAATGTGTGTTGGAAAGAGATAGCATCAGTTTAATATGTCTACTGTACAATTCAAATGGCCACGTCGAAAAAGTACGTCTGTTCTTCTAAGGGATGTCACTCTATAATTATAACCTCAAATCGAAACGTCTTGTGAGCGTTGTCATGAATCTGTTAGTGTTTTCACAAGCCGAAAATGTTTTCTTTGAAAGGAAAAGCATTAAATAATATCTTTGACAATTTTTGACATATAACCTCCATTACTAACATAACCTACATTTAAATGTATGTGGTGAAATAATCTAAGTCGTACGTCCATATCTTGATTCATACCATTTTTAAGCAATCTGTCACTGCCAGCTTTCATGGTTTCTACTATACCAACAAATTGGCATCATCTATGTTGAAAAATGTAGATTTTAAGACGTAAGAGGTCTTGCTGCCAACAAGTTGGCAGCCTCTATGATAATGAATATAAATGTTAAGATGTAATAGCTCATACTGCCAACGAGTTGGCAGCCACTATGATGGTGAACGTATGTTTTAAAATGTAAGAGCTCTTGCTGCCAACAAATTGACAGTCTCTATGTTGATAACTGTAGATTTTAAAATGTAAGAGTTCTTCATTCTATAATGAAATTTACAAGTTCCAAAGTGTAATAGCTCATGCTGCCAACAAATTGGCATCTTCTATATTGAAAAATGTAGATTTTAAAACGTAAGAACTCTTGCTGCCAACAACTTGGCAGATTCTATGATGAAGTCTACAAGTTCCAAAGTGTAATAGCTCATGCTACCAACAAGTTGGCAGCCTCTTTGTTGATAAATGAAGATTTCAAGATGTAAGAGCTCTTGCTGCCAACAAGTTGGCAGCCTCTATAATAGTGAATATATGAAAGATATACAACAATCTAACGCTGATTAACAACTAAAACTATCATTAAACATTCAAGTTTAGCCGTCTTAAGAGACGTACGACTAAACCCTAAAGTTTCTAATTCTAGGTCCAGTGCTAGATCTACTTTTCGTTCAATATAAATATACTGATATAATACATCAGTATAGATCATAATAGATAATATTAATAGTATGACTTAAAAATATTTTCTCCGTTATATCCGAAGTCCTTTTTTATTTGGTACATAAATAACTTAAATTTGAGTGGACTTTAACAAAAAAAACTTTTAAGACTTACACGACGTTCGATTCTCAAGATACCAAAGCCTATAACAGCCGCTTCTAACTCCCCGCGGGCCATTCTTGTTACGGCAACTTCAAGATAACTTTTAATTACGTTTCATTGCTACCTAATTGGCCTCACGAAACAATCAAAAGCTGAGAGTCATTGTATCAACTTAAAATTAAGTTATAAATGTCCGAACTCTTTGGATTCTTTGACGATCCCCAGAGTACGAGGTCAAGAAGTCACTTCTCGTCTTTACTTTCAATTAGATACGTCATAATGGCACAAAAAACTGCGACTATAGAAAAACTGTGGGGTTTTACCAAAAAAAAGAAAACATTTAAGAAAAAGAAATTTTCTGTCGTAGCTTGTTAGGTAGCCTTTTGAAATATTCAAGGGCAGTTTTCAAGGCGTTTTTGTGGTGGACCCTTTCATCTCTGCCTCCCCCATTCCTTCCGATCTCCGGGACAGTCTCTCATAAAATGTTTTTCTAAGGGCCAGCTTGTAAACAGAATAATGATAACAACTTTTTTTTATTAATACTTATATCAGTAATAAACAAATTTAATTTTTTGAATTGTAAAATATTTTTTGTTATTGTTTTAGGGGAAATGGCTAGAGCTGGTATGGCATTGAGAAGGAGAACTAGTCACGCGAACACTGAGTAAGTATGTTAATATAAAAAAAACGTTGGGATTCGTGCCAATAATGCAGCTGGTAAAGCTCCGTATACGGGGCGGCTCAATAAAATTTTATGGTGACTGTAGCGATACGGATTTGGCAACACCCCAATCGCCTTCGGTTTTTCATAAAAGTGGGCGCTGAGTAGCATTGAAACCATATTATCACAACATTTAAAATGAATTATGACAAAATCGATTCAAGTATTTTTTTTAACTTACATTTGATCAATTCCTTTTTTCTTGCAATGAAAGAAGCTGTTTTTCCATTAACATGCAAAAGTAATTTAAACAGTTGTAAAACTTTCTGGATCTGACAAAATGTGGTTATTTTTGCGCTCACATTACTTTTTTGGCACATTCAAATATGAACAAAATCTTCCTCCTTTTTTAATATAAATTTTAATTTCCGTAGAAATTGCAATTTTTAATTATACCATACTGAGTGTAAACAAGATAATTTTATATTCACGCTTCGCGGGTGTTTCTTATTCAAGAACACGACATACTGCATGAATAAGTAAAAAACCGACATATTTCCGGTGTACGGCAAACAAGTAAATATGTGCCTCGAGCCTCTATCTGTTCGCCGCTGAAAAAGGGGAGGAAAGGCGTCGTTTCCGAGTTTCCGCTGGATGTCGCCACGTCACACAACGTAAATATTTCCAACTTGTACATGCAATAAATTCGACGTGCGTTCTCCTCGACACCTGTACTATGTATATCCATCTCCGGCGCCTCCACCATTTTCTGCGCCCGCTTCGAATTTAATTTCCAGAAATTTATGTGTCCCAACGTCGTGGATCCATCATATCCGACGACGAACGGATTCCGGGATTCCGGTATCTGCATTCAATCAGTTCCTTCCAAATGGACGTACAAAACGTTTTCGAATGGGAAGTTTTAACGACAATAACGCACGCGATCATTTTAGTATTTTGTAAAAATACTTAAAACAGCTGAAGAGATAACGGTTTATCTTTTACGATAGCGTTTAATGGCACTGTTAAGTGAGCTTTTTTTCATAGTATACAACAAAAATTTTTGCTATTCGTGATACACGCTATGAAAATGTTTCAGATTGTATTTCACTTTAGACTGAACCTTCAGTAATTTATATCTCATGAAATAAGAGTTATATTTCAAAACGGATTTGATCACTGGAAAGTAGATGATTTAATCAGTAATTGGTGATGATTCCATAAAAATTTCTCAAGAAATCGATTTTTCAGGAATTTTTAAAGCTACTCAAAATATACGGTTAAGATTTCTAATTAACTCCAGTAATTTATATCTCAAGAACTAAGAGTGATATTTCAAAATGGACTTGATCACTGGAAAATACATGCTTTAATTAGTAATTGGTGATGATTCCATAACAATTTTCCAAGAAATCGATTTTACAGGAATTTTTAAAGTCATTCAAAATATATGGTTAAAATTTCTAATTAACTCCAGTAATTTATATCTCAAGAACTAAGAGTGATATTTCAAAATGGACTTGATCACTGGAAAATAGATGCTTTAATTAGTAATTGGTGATGATTCCATAACAATTTTCCAAGAAATCGATTTTTCAGGAATTTTTAAAGTTATTCAAAATATATGGTTAAAATTTCTAATTAACTCCAGTAATTTATATCTCAAGAACTAAGAGTGATATTTCAAAATGGACTTGATCACTGGAAAATAGATGCTTTAATTAGTAATTGGTGATGATTCCATAACAATTTTCGAAGAAATCGATTTTTCAGGAATTTTTAAAGTTATTCAAAATATATGGTTAAAATTTCTAATTAACTTCAGTAATTTATATCTCAAGAACTAAGAGTGATATTTCAAAACGGACTTGATCACTGGAAAGTAGATGCTTTAGTTAGTAATTGGTGATGATTCCATAACAATTTTCGAAGAAATCGATTTTTCAGGAATTTTTAAAGTTACTCAAAATATACGATTACTAAAAAAGCGTATCTTAAACTAAAGTTTGTTTTTCAAACTTCAGTTTATGTCTCAAAAGGATTATAAAAGATACATTATTGTATTACTACAGTTTATCCCTTGTATATATCGACATTAAACAAATTACCCAAGTGAGTAAAAACCATCAATTAAACCGCTCCTAAAGCAAACCTGTCTCTAAACTAAACGCGCATCTCATAAATCACCTTTCAGATAACGTCAGTGTGTAGGTGAAACTATTTAATAGATGCCCAAGACGGCCTTTATGCGAAATTGATGATATTAAGGTGGGGCATGTTAACGGAATATGTTGCACTACGAGGACGAGATCTGAATCTTACCCAGAAGATTAATAGTTGACGAAAAATCTTTTGTTGTTTTTTTTTTGTTCAAATCGTTTTTAATCTTGGCACCGAGAGAAACAAAGTAGTGGGATTTCTATGAGGTATTAATCATTTCAGGGGGAGGTAGTCGGCTGAATATAACGGCTTTATTACCGAGCCAAACAATGAAAATCCCCTAGGGAAAAGCGAGGGCACGACTTTTAGAAGGGAAGATTAGTGCCAAAAAGGGGTGTGGATCTATTGATACTCACTAATCTGTATCGATAAATTATTATTGATTTTGACATGATCAGCTACAACTGAGGATTATCTACAAATTTATTGCATATTTCAAAAACTAATTGTCAATATAACTTTTTCAAGCAAGAGCAATAATTGTTATGATAAATGTCTTAATTATACGAGGAACATAAAACATTTTCTGCCTTTTCCTGTCAGACATAATAAAATTAAATAGCCGCGACAAATTATAAATTGCCCCATCCCAACCCGTAAGACACCTTATAATAAATATCTTTAAAACTTCCTTGAATCGTTGCCAAGAGTACAACGATACAAAGTCCTCTCTTTTCTCGCTCTCTTTCATAACTACACATTCTCCAAAAATACTCATATCTCGACATCAATGCGATATATCCAGGCCACGTTTTTGTTTTTATTTCCTTTCGCGGCCATTCCAAATCTTCTAAACCTTCGTATACAGAAATGAGAGACGAACAAATCCCTACTTAAACAGTCCCCATAAACAACAAACCCCTAAATCCGTTCACGTCATCAGTTCACGGGAACGGTCACAGACAGAAAAAAATGAGTCATCTCTGTTGTACCCTCTGTTCTTTGCCGCAGCCAGTCCTGACAGGTTCCGATGTCAAGGACACCCATATGTCGCTCTCTCCCTACTGTGCAGCTACCAAAACACATTGTGTAATACTTTTTAAACGCGTCTCAGACGTAACGGCTGCAAAATAACACTTGTGCAGAAATAAATATAGTAACGATAATAATAAAAAAAGAATGCATTTAAAATACAATCCGTGCGCTATGTGATTATAACAAACCGAACGAGTTACGTGCTAAAAATAACTTTCATCATGAACACGGGGTGCGTATATTTATTAATTTCATATTCTGCATGAGTCATTGCAGTTCCAAGTACGTAAGAGTTGACCTTAATTTTGTTTTGTCTTCACCAGTTGACATTGACATGTGAGCTTGTTCAATGAAAACTCGAGTAACTGATTTTTATACTTCTCGACGTTAGCAACAGCATATCTTTTAACGGATTTATTCCATTATTCATCCTTTTATGTTCGTTCTTGTTAGAGGTCTTGTTTTGAAGGCTTTATTGGCGCGTTAAGAGCTCGTTATCTTTTTCTGTTTTAGTTGTTTTATCGTTCCCTTGTTTCCTGCGTTAATAAATAGAACAAAAACCGCCACTACGATTAAGATAATGGAAGAGTTATAAGAAGAAAATTATAATGTTTATAAAATCTCTATTAACGACAACATAATCTTTATACAGTGTGAATTAAAAATTAATAGTTAAATATCGATAGGAAATCTGAAGACGCACGGCTAAACCCGAAACTTTCTAGTTTTATAACATTTATATTAATATTTTTTTCTAAGATATATTCTTTAAAAATTATACCTAAGGGATACTATTCACAATATAGAACAATTTTAACTCCCTACAGAGACATTTCGCAAGGACGTTGTTCGTAAGTTCCCTCCGGAATAGACACGTGTCGTCGTTTGGATGGTGTTGGAAAAGCCGAAAAAAAAGAAAAAATCTCGAGGCGAATACAAAAAAAAAGAGATGGCCAGAGAAACTGAAATGCCGGAGAAGAGAGATTTAGACAGGACTTTAGGTGATGCAGAGGATTTGGAACATGTTGATCGCCCCTCGAGGCCACGTTTGGATCTCAAAGTTTGAGTGATGGACTCCAAGAACTACTTAGGAAAAACTTGAGAAACGAGAGGGTTTCGTCCAGTTTTCGACGTCTGGGCATTGATTTTCTTGTAATTACTTCGGATTTTCGCGGATCCTTTTGATCCTGGTCTGGAGGCACTCAACCATGGATATCCTTCCATCGAGAGATGGTGGATTATTTAAGCCGCTGCACCAAGCCACTTTTCATGTGGAAAATCCTACCGAGAGATCGATCCGAGTAATCGCCGGTTTCCTCCCCAACCCTTTTCCTGCCGTAGTAAATTTGTGTCGAGTCGGGAGGAAACAGGCTTTTTTTGTCCTCCATCTCTCACACCGAACATTGAAAAAGACAAGTTGAAGAGTAGTTTTTGTTTAAAAAAAAATTAGAGGATGTTTACTTTAGTAATTGAATTTCATTTTAAGTTCGATGACCTACCTTGAACAATTCGGCGCAAATCTGTCATTCGCAGTACTAACGAATAAATGGATAAACATCAATCAGTGACATGCAATCAATGTCTTTCTACGAACAAACCTTGTTTGCTGGAACTATTTCCCGCCTACAGTATAAAAAATACGAAGATTGGCAACTCGAAATTCATCCCCTCCATCGTTGAAGAACCAGGTCCATTGTGCCTCGCAGGAAACGGCACAATGAACGGACGTTTTGCCGTCGCCAAACGGCGATACAATGGGGCAACTATCCCGTAAACATGTTTGCCGGCGAAGTTCGTTACAGCTGCTA